TGTCAGATGTTATATGTATCTGCCCTGAGTATCACAGTTCTATCAGTTTTGCTTTAAAATAGGCTGTGTTTGTTCATTTCGAGATAGTGTCACATGTAGCCAGACAAGCCTTGAGCTTACTATAGCTGAGGATGAGCTGGGATGCCTAACCCTCCTGCCTTCACTTCTCAAGACAATATTAGAAACATGTGCCATCACACCTGACATTAGTCAATTTCATTTTATAGAGAAATTTGAAATACTTTTAAAACACCCATCTATTTACTACAGATATGAGCATCTAAAATTTAGTATCCATGTTTTAAAATTTCAAATTTTGGGACATTTGAGATTATCAGATTAGGAATTTCACTGGCAATGTCTATATGCCAGTAATCCCAAATCTAAAAATCTCAGAAGTTCTGATAAATTTCTATGTGGTAATACTGGTTTTATACTGCTAAAGAATTTTCTACCTTATAGAGCTATTGTCTTTTCACTTTCCTCTACCAAAAAAGTAAATTGTCTTCATTTGAAAAGTTTAATTATACTGTGTTGATCTTTCCCTAGTACATTAAAGACTGCTCCAGTCATTTTTTTGTAGATATTTACTGACATTTTATCTTTGTTCTTTATAAAATGTAATTTTTCTCCATAAGGCTGCCTTTTATATTTTGTCTTATTTATGTAAGCCATTTGATTACTGTTCACCTTTATACAGTTTTCTGCAATTTTCTTTTTATTGTTAAAAATAATTTATCTGGCTAGAGAAATCTTGACAATTAGCTTTCATTTACTATTGGTGGTATATGTTCACTCTCCATAGTGATAGGCTTCCATGAAGACATTTTCATTCTCTCTTCCTAACTTCCCCTTCTTGCTAGTCTCTGTGTTTGAACTTAACAGAGCTTTTTGTGTCTATGGGTGTATTAGTTATATGTCCCATTGCTATGTCAAAATACCTGACAAAGGCAGCCAAAAAGAAGGGAGGGTTTATTTTGGCTCTCAGTGTAGGAAATGCAGTCTATCGTGATTGGGAGCATATAGTGTTAGGAGCAGGAGATAGGCCAGAAGCAAATGGTTATGAGTGCTGTTACTCAGCCATGTGATTTCTTTTCTAGTCTGAAAGAATGGTACCACCCACTTCCCACTTCAGCTAACCTAATGTAAATAATCCTTCAGAGACATGTTCAGAGATTTGTTTCCATGGTGATTCTCAATTCCATCAAATTGACCGTCAAGATTAACCATCACATTGGGTTAATAGTTTTCTTTGCATAAATAACATTTTTCTGCCTCTCCTTTTCTCACACATCGTGTTCATCAACCTAGAATGAACCTTTAGTGAATTTTGTGTAGTTACAGATTGTGCAATGTTTTATCTCAGTTTGAGAACTCTGTATTTACTAGCACTCATTTTTCCATTTTGTATGATATATGACCTATTACCACCAGCTTTTCACTTAATGAGTATCTTTAAGGTTGGTCCTTGTTTGGGCACATACTTGTTTTGCTTATAATATTGTATGGTAATGAGCTTGCCATATTTATTTATCCATTTGCCAAGTCAGACATCTGGATTGTTTCCAGTTTTGAGTCAAAACATTTTTTTGCAATCATTTATGTGGACTTACAAGTATATACCTAAGAATTAACTACCATATATTAACTCCATGTTGAACTTTTTAAGGAACCACTGTGCTGATTAAGTGCCTGGGCCAGTTTTACATTTCCACTGGCAGCATATAAGGTTTGAGTTTCTCTGCTTACTAATATTGTCTCTGATTTTATTGATCCAAGTGGGTTCATCATTGTAATTTGGGTGGACAACATTTCCATTTCCCTCATGAGTAATGTTATTAAGTATCTTTTCATCTTTGTGTCTTTGGAGAAATATGTAATATGCCTTTTTTTTTTTTTTTTTTTTTTTTCCCTTTGAGTGTTTTTGAGATGGGTATTTCACTTTGTAGCCCTGAGTAGCCTGGAATTCACTGTATAGCTCAAGCTGGTGTCAGGCTTGTGATCTGATTGTCTCCTCCACCAAGTGCTGGGATTAAAGACAAACTACGACTCTGATTGTACTCAGATCTTTTCCTTTTTTTATTTAAGTTGTGTGCAAGTGTGCATTCATTTGTATGTAAGTACAGGTACACAAATTCTGCTGTGCTGCGTAGAAGTCAGGACAACCACCATTCTTGTTTTGAGACAGGGTCTCTTCTTTTTCCTCTGCATTTGCCAAGACAACAAGCTTCTAAGAGATTCTACCAATTTTCTTGTCTGTGCTTCCCATCTTCCTGAGGGCTCTGGGATTATAGATGCTCACACCGTCTGGTATTTAATGTAAATTCTGGGAACTGAAACTCAGGCCCACATACTTGCTTGCTAAGTGCTTTTACCCGTTGAGCCAGCTCCCCAGCCTCTCCTGAGTTTTAAGACTATAAATGACTTAGCAGATTTATGACCTACAAATAGTCTCTTTTTCTATGGCTTTGTCTTATACTTTTCTAATGTTGCCTTTTAAAGCACAAAGTTTTTTTTTTTTTTGGTTATGTTTTGTGTTTCCAGATAGGGTTTCTCTGTGTAGCCTCAGTTATTATAGAACTGGCCCATTAGACTAGGCTGGCCTTGAACTCACAGAGATCCACCTGCCTGTTTCCCAAATCTGGGGATTAAAGGTGTGTGCTATCATCATCCTGAGCTCAAATTTTTTCGCTTGTGCTGTTAATCCATGGTTATATAGACTTTCAGTTTGGTGTGTTTCCCCTGACACATTGGGGATTAAATTCAGGGCTTCATGCATATTTGACATGTACCTTATCACTGAGCAACATTCTTTAATTATGCATGCTTTTGAGTTTTGTATATGGTGTAAAGTAAGGGTCCAACTTTTTTTTTTTTTTTTACTTTTTAGAACTTTTGTGTATGATGTTTTGATGTGTGTATCTCCATACTACCACATGTTTGCCTGTGCTTAAGGCCAGAAAAGGACATCAGATTTTCTGGGACTAGAGATATTGAAGGTTCTGACCTTGTAGGTGCTGGGAATTGAACCTGGATCCTCTAAAAGAACAAGCAGCCAGTGCTCTGAACCACAAAGCCATCTTCATTCTTTTGTGTATGGCTCTCTAGTTGTACCTTTCTGTTACTTCTTGTTCTTTTTTTCTCTCTTTCATCTCTATTTGGAGCCTCTACTTAGTCACATGTGCATTGCACTGTAAAAGCTGTACCAGACATTTCTGAAGTGCTGAGTTTTTTTCAGTGTGTGTGTTTAGGTTTTTCTTGCCCTGCCTTCAAATAGAGGGTTTTTCTTCAGTGTGTGATCTGCTGTTAATCTCATCTTGCCCTCCACACCCCCATTCTGAATCTTGATGTCACTAAGCTCATTGTTACCATTTTTAAGCTTTGATTGGTTTTTCTCTTCTTCATAGATTTTTACTTTCCTGTTTGTTTATATGCTTGATAGTTTTTTTTCATTGGTGCCAGAAACTGATGTCCTTCTTTGTTGGATGGTGCATGCTTGAATATTCCTTCAACTAATATTTGTTATGGGGTGAACTGAAGTTACTGGAAAGCAATTTCACTCTTTTGAAGCTTGATCTTAAGCTTTTCTAGGTTAGACAACAGCAGTCATTAGTCTGGAATTGAATGTTGAACCTATGCCTTCTGAGCTGAAAGGATTTTGTTCTCTCCTCAGCATTTGGGAACAGTGTGGCCTAGCCATTTGGGTGTTTCCTCCTCTGGCTCAGGCAGTTTTTCACATTCAGTGCTTAAGGGTAACCGTCTTCATATCCAAAGGTCACTTTGTTTTTCTGTACTGTTCCCTGAATTCTAACTACCACAGTGTTGGTACTCTTGTCTCCAGAGCCCAGATTACTCTGCTCTGTGATTGCCCCCACCCTGCTTTTTTGCAAATACTGAGAAGTACACTGAGACAACTGTAGAAACTGCCTGTTTGTTTCCCATTCCTATTGGGTAACTTTACTTACCTTGGTTGATATCTGGCATATTTGTTTCCGGTAGAATAACAAATTGAGGCTTTATTAGCCTATCTTGATTAGAAGTAAAAGTCTCGAGGTTGCTTTTGCAGCTATTAGGCCTCAAACATTACAGATATTGTAGAGAAAGGTCTTATGGATGTAGAAAACTATTGACCTCTTAATCAAGAAATGCCTAAATGTATATTTAATACTGCTTGAAAGAGTGGTGCATTTTAAGTTGAGTACTGTGTCTCTTGCTTGACTTAGTATCTGAAAAGTTCTTGGGCAGGTATTTTTACTTGTGTATTAACAATACAGGCTTTCTTTCTTCTTGTTTGTTTTGCTTTTTTGAGACAAGATCTTCCTGTGTAGATCAAGCTGGCTTGGAACTTCCTGAGATCTGCTTGCCTTGACTCTCTATTGCTAGAATTAAAAGTTTACACCACAACACCCAGCTTTACTGCCTAGAAAGCCCCACATTACATAGGTTCTGGGTTTTTTTTTTGTTTTTTGTTTTTTTGTACGATGCAGTTACTACTTGAATAATTTGTTCCTAATCTCAACTAGTTTGAGATACCTTTGCTTCCTTTCTTCTTTTTTAGGCAGACTTCCTATTTTCTGGTGTATAGAATAAACAGTTTTTTCAGATAATTGTATTTGATTTTGTCTTCATAAATTTATCTTTTGTAGTACCCAAATTCTAGATTTAGTACTGCTGTGAATTATTATATTTTTGTTTTAGCATATCTTAGGTCATTTAAAGGATACATTCTTTCCATTGTGCTCTTAAAATGAAGATAGTCTCAAGTATTGATGCTTCGCTTTAAAAGTTTAAATTTTAGTTTTAATCTGCTAGTTAGAGTTAATTATTCAGTGCATGCAGTGAATTGTTCTAAAATGGATGAAATCTTCCTCGCTAAGCCTTCTCAAAGTTTTTAAAGTAGTAATTTAAGTACCTAATTAAAACATCAAAATCTTATGTAATACATGGACCAAATTCTTGGAGATCACTATATAATCCTTTTCTCTTTTTCTGTCTTGCAGGAAAAGTAAGAAGCTTAAGCTCATCTTTGTGGTCACTAACTCACTTGACAGCTTTGCATCTGAGTGACAATTCCCTGTCCTGTATTCCTTCAGACATTGCCAAGCTTCACAATCTGGTATATCTGGACCTGTCCCATAACCAAATCCAGAGTTTACCGGCAGAACTCGGAAACATGGTATCACTCAGGTATGGAGGGAGACTCAGTACTGGATATTTAGATTCCCCAAAACAAAGCCTGCATATATCTTGTTAGGAAATAAAACCATTTTATATTTAAAGAAAGGAAGCATCATAACTGTATCTTCTGTTGAAAGATTTTTGGTAGAATTGAATGTTCAATAATAAAAATTAAGCAGGTCCATTGCTTGGGCTTTGTTATTTTGATGTTTTTTTTCTGAAACAGGGTTTCTTTGTGTATCTCTGACTATCCTTGCTCTGTAGACCAGGCTGACCTCAAACTCAGAGATCCCCCTGTCTTTGCTTCCCAACTGCTGGGTTTAAAGTCATGCACCACCACTCCCTGACATTGCCTAGTTTTTTATTTCTGTGTTTTGTGTTATGTATTTTATTTTTGAATTAAAAAGTTTTAAAAAATACACTTTATTGATTCTTTGGGACTTTCACATCATGTATCCCAATCCTGCTCACCTCCCAGTCTCATCATATCTACCCCTCACCACTGTAGCTCCCCCCCCCCAAAAAAAAGATTAATTAAAAACAAAAGACAACAAACCCACCTCCCTCCTCTGTCTTTCCAATACTTTGTATTCATCCTAGTGACATCAGGAGCTGTGCTGTGTTGTGCCTTATACCCTTTTGTCCAGTCAGCCTCACCTGCAAAATGTTCATTGCGATGAATTCTTGTTCTGAACCAAAAAGTTTAAAGCACTGTAAAGCACTGTGTTATTTGATGTACTTGCCTGTGGCCAGCAGTTGATGCCATGCAAACATTTTTAACACTGGTTCTCAGAACCTGTTGCCCATAGTAGGAAAGCTCTGGCATGAATAAAGCTAGAATTAGTTACTGTGTTTAGAAGCTTTGTAGTTTCATGGGTAGAATTTGTAGTGATGTTATTTCTTTGGGAATCTTACTTTGGCATTTATAAATTATGTGATCTTGGACAGATTTCTTAGCCAGAGGCTGGGATGTTGGTAATGATGAATTCACAACTAACTCTGTCCAGCTTTAATATTTCAGCAAATGATAATTACTGGGTGGCATTTTTTTTTTTTTAACCTTTGAAGGTACATAAGATATACATAAAAGCCAGGGTTGGTAGTGCACGCCTTTAATCCCAGTTCTTGGGAGGCAGAGACTCTAAGAACTCTAAGAGTTCAAGACCAGCCTAGTCTACAGAGTGAATTCCAGGACAGGCTGGCTCCAAAGCTACAGAGAAACCTTGTCTACCCCCCTCAAGACTCCACCCCTCCCAAATCTACATAAAAATAAAGCTGAATCAGCATACCTGCACAGTGGTTTCCATGGCTTTTCTGATATCTTCTAGTGTCTTTACAAACTCTTTCACTAGCCTTTTAACGGTTTTTTTTTTTTTTTTCCTTTTTCTTTTTCTTTTTTTCTTCTTGGCTTAGTTATTGAGTATTTACTATGGCTATTTTTCATCTTTGGAAACAAAATGGTATAGAGAACCTCTTTCCCCTTATAATGGGTTTGGAAATAAATAGGAACCAGTTACTCAGATCTTGTTTTTCTTGTTCAGTTTTCTCAGAAGCAACCAGGATTTTTAAAGAAACAAATAATTCTTTTTATCTAAAATCTGCTTAGTAAAAGTTAAAATAGGAACTTGACAGTATGTCAGTTTGGTGTTGGGGGCTTGGTTGCCTTTTTTTCCTTTAAAGAGTCTTACGATATATTGTGGTTATAAAAAACATTAATCTTTTGTTTAAGTGAAATTTTTTTTTGTAAATTTGGAGAACTAGTAAACATAAGCTTAACTGTGTAGTCATCATTAAGCTCATCAAACAGTCCTCATGGTAGCTGTGTGTTAACTTCTTTTCTTGCTGCTGTGACTAAGTGTATGACAAGAAACTACTTAAAGGAGTAGCTATGTCATTTGACTCAAGGTTGAGGGGATATAGTCCATCATGGTGGGAAATTTCAACACAGTAGCAGAAATGCATAGCAGTTGATCACATAGCATCCACTATCAGGAAGTGAAATTGAGACATCCCTCACGCTGTGCTGTGATACTACCCATATTGAGGCTGAGTCATCCTGGGTTTAGGCTCTCTGGAAGTACCCTCTGAGATCTGTCTCTACACTGTTTGATCCTTTCTGCTTTCTTAGTACAATTAGTGGAGCACACATGTGCCAAACTAGCACTGCTTTGCTACTTGCCAACCATGTTTCTAGCCTATAGTGAGGTAAGTATTTCATTTGGGAGTAATTTTGTGTATTCATGAATTTAACAACTTTTAAAAATTGAAGCTTGTATCATACTTTGTTCTTGTTTCTGTTTTGGTTTTTTTTCCCTGCGTATTACCAAAGGTTTGGTCTGTGGCAGTTTTGTTTAACTACATAGGAAGGCCAAGGTTAAATAATGGAATACAGGGTATAAAGCTTTGTCGTGCTTAGGTACATACTTTCCTAGAAATAACATTGTTGATTTTAGTTGTTAAGGTTAAAATTAAAATGTCTTTATATCAACAGGGAGCTCCATTTAAATTACAACCAGTTACGAGTTCTACCTTTTGAGCTGGGAAAACTGTTTCAGTTGCAGACTTTAAGCCTGAAAGGTAGGATTTCACTTTTTTCTTACAGTGTTGAGCTATTAGAGTTCTTACCAGGGTGCTTTGGCAGGCAGTGTTGTCACCTCATGCTCTGCTGCTTTAGCTGTGCTTCAGTTCTCTGTTCCTGTGACTGTTCAACTCCAGGCTGTCTGTGTCTTTCTGTTCTATCTGCTGTTGACCTATCTATCTGCTTTCTTAGCTTGTATCTTGATGATACATTACTTATGCCATGCTTTCTCATCATGATATAACAGCTTCCCATAAAGGAAGAAAGAAGTAAATAGAAATTTTCGATTTGGTCCTGGTACTAAAAATTATGCTTTTGAGGATTTATTTTTTACAAAAGAAGTTGATCTATGGTTCCTTAATTAGTGTTGGAAATGGAAGAGGGCATAAATAATGCAGTAGGAACCATTGTAAAATGTTGTAAGCCAGAAGGAACCAAATCACATTTTTACATGTGTCAAGACATGGACATGTTTTGTAATGTAATTAGTTCTTCGCCAGTCTGGGCAGGTGTGGACAGACTGCTGTCTTCTAAAGGGAGACTTCTGGTTAAAGTCTCTTAAGAGTTGCATTCATATTTGTAAAAAATAGTTACAGAATCAGGTTATATTCTTATAAGTTCCTTTGGTATATTATAAAAACTGTTCAAGAAGTAAATGAAAAAATAAAAGTACACATTTGTATATATGTAATTTTTAGCAGCCATCAACTTTGTGTATGGTTCAAGTCCATTTCATGTTACAGAAAGCTGCTGTTGTATATCCTTCCAGTTGAGAGTTGATACAAAGCACTTCTCTATTAACATTAACCTATTATTGCTCATCATTTTTAATATTTGTATAAAATTGCAAATTTTGAGGCTGGATAAATGACTCAGTGGTTAAGAGCACTGATTGCGACCTGGGTTCAATTCCCTGTATCCACGTGGTGGTTCACAACCACCTGTAACTCCAATTTCAGGCAATCCAGCTCCCCTCTTCTGGCCTCCAGAGGCATAAGCAGGCCCATGATGCACCCACGTGCGCACACACGTGCACGCACACACACACACACACACACACACAGGCAAAACATCCATACACATAAAACAAATCTTTAAAAGAAGAAAATTTTTAAATCAATTTTTTTTTTCTTCAAGACAGGGCTTCTCTGTTATTGCTTTGGAGCCTGTCCTGGAACTAGCTCTTTTAGACCTGGCTGACCTTGAACTCCCAAAGATCTGCCTGCCTCTGCCTCCTGAGTGCTGGGACTGAAGGCATGCTCTACCAATGTGCAGCTAAAAAGCAAATTTTTATATAGAAATTTCAAAAGTGGTACTTTTATTTGGTAAATTTTTAGCAACTGTGTTGTAATATAATTTTTGTGGTGTTAGGTGATTCTTTTGATAAATTTTTCTAAATCTAAAACACTGTATTATCTTAATTTACCTACTTAAATTTCCCCCAGGAAATCCACTTACCCAAGATATATTGAACCTCTGTCTGGAGCCTGATGGAACAAGAAGGCTACTGAACTACTTACTCGATAATTTGTCAGGTACTGCAAAAAGAAGTAAGTGGCTGTTTGTTTAGACTTTTTAGTAGGAAGAGATATAAGAATATCACTTAATTATTATTGTATTTTTTTTACATATATATATATATATATACACATATATATATACCCAGTTTCAACGGAACAACCACCTCCAAGATCTTGGATCATGTTACAAGAACCAGACAGAACAAGGCCAACTGGTTAGTAGCCCTATTTTTAACAATTAGTGTGGCCAGGTCTTGATAAGCTGAAAGTATTGTTGATATCAGATACTGAACAATATTGAAGGCAGTATTATTATAGGCTGATTTAGTTTGGGAAATAATGATAAAGATTTAATTCTGTAATGCATTGCTTCTCAGCCAGGAGCAGTTTTATCTCCATGGGGCATGTATTAGTTTTAACAATTCTGACTGTTAAAAAGTGGGAGAAATACTACAACAACATAGGGACACAGCTAAATACCCTACAGCACCTGGCCTGGTCAGACTCTAGTAACCATACAGAATGTCAATACTGCCACTGTTGAGCACCTGACTTATGGCGGTAGATTCACTGAATAAGTAACACTAAAATCTTTCCACGTTGGAGGTTTCCATGTGCTGATGTGATATTAGCAAAATTGTGAGATAGTTTTCTTACTTGAGAGGAAAAAAATGAACTAATGGCCTCTGATCTATTTTTAAACCTAAATTTTATGAGAATAGTTTAGTTCTCAGGGTATTTTTTTAAAACAGGATTTGGCTGATGGTATACCTGGCTTCTGCATGAATTAATACACAGGCTACCTCGTTTCATGTTACTTTTTCTTATTTTGCTTCATATGTAATTAAAATGTGTTGTGGGTTTTTGTTGCAACCCTGTGTCAATACGATCTGCCATTGCCATTTTTCCTGTAGCTCAAACAGTTTTTTTTAAAGCAATAAAATATTTCTTAGTCTGTGTGTTTAAGACAATGCTGTTCTATAGATAATGAAAAACTTATTTTTGTGCCCCAGGAAGCCAGCAATAACCTCTGATTTGCTTTGTTTGCAGTACTCACTATTTTAGTGTTCTGGAGCCAAACTCCCAGTCACTCTTCAAGTTAGTCTATAGTTGCTCTACTAAGAAAAAGAAAGTTGGGCAGCCTGTTAAGGAAACTCAAGTTTCCACATCCTACACTAACAGTTGGTGGTGTAGAAGAAATAAGGAGTCTTGGTTTATAGAATTAAGACTCAAAAACGTCTTTTAACTTCTATAGATACAAGCACATTGTATCCTAATTGGTTCGTTTAACTCCCCTTCCATTACTTATTTTTCTTTTTGTCTCCAAGCTGGCATAGTCAGACTTAACATAGTGAGGACTATTACTGAAATAATTAAGGTTGTTGGGTTTTTTCCTGCAATGTGTGTGAATCAGTTATCTTTCCTACAGCCTTGTTTTCTGTCATGTGCTATAATGTTCTTTGTGATAAATATGCGACCCGGCAGTTATATGGCTACTGTCCATCATGGGCACTTAATTGGGACTACAGGAAAAAGGCCATTATTCAAGAAATCTTGAGCTGCAATGCTGATATTATAAGTCTTCAGGTAAGTCATGCAAAAGACTTTTCAAGTTTTGTGACCCTTCAAACCAGGACAAAACAAAAAGCAATTATACTAGAATATATTATGCTATTATAAATTCTAGCTTCAGTGGCTAGCTCTTAAAATTCTGGCCTTTTCTTCCCTCTCCATGGAACAGATGGGAGGAGGGGAAAAGTGGGAGGGGGGAGCAGGAGGAGAGGATGGAGGGAGAACTGGGATTGGAATGTAAAAAATAAATTAATTTTTAAAAAAGAAAACTGGAAACAAATATGTAGCCTAAAAAAAAATAAAAATTCTGACCTTTTCTTGGTTAGGTGAATTCTGAGAATAGTAACAATCTTTGCAACTCTGTGCTGTCAAATAAAGTAAAGGGGGTTCAACTAGGTTTAAAAATTGGCAGTAACTTTTTCTTCTTCCTCCAATGTTTCTGTGTAATGTATTTGAATTGGGTGGCAAAGTTGCTAAAATTGTGGCACAACTAGATATAGTCTTGTTTTACCAGCACTGTTACTGGTAAAGTTAGGGTGAAATGGGAAAAAATTGGAGTGTCTGCACAGTAATCTAGGTTTTTTTTTTTTTTTTTTTTTTTTGCCCAATTCTCATAATAACACAGTTTTAGTCAACTTGTTTCTCTTCGTGGGCCTGGAATTAAAATATGTGATAACTTAATTCCTTCTTGTATGCTTCTCATTCCATCAGTTCTAAGACAAATCTACATGTGTAGGTATACATGTCTTTCATTTTACTCCTAAACTACGAAGAACTGGCATTGGCATGTGGTACAATAAAGTCTTCTGATTGGTTTTAAATAAATTATATTTTGAAGATGTTCTATTCTTTAATCTGTAGTTGAAAAAATATTATCTCAGATTGGGTTAATGTATAGGACAGAATTTTGTCTTTGAAGTAACTTTGCTGATTATGATTTTTCAGGAGGTCGAAACGGAGCAGTATTACAGTTTTTTTCTGGTAGAACTAAAAGAGCGTGGCTATAATGGATTCTTTAGCCCTAAGTCTAGAGCTAGGACAATGTCGGAACAAGAAAGAAAGCATGTTGATGGCTGTGCAATATTCTTCAAGACAGAAAAGTAAGCCTATCTGTTTTTGTTTGTTTTGATTTGGGTTTTTTTTGGTTTGTTTGTTTGTTTTTAAGGATGTCTTCAGTATTAGCAGGGCGGGGCCAAGGATGTAGCAATTAATTGGTATATAAGAAAATGAAGTGCTATATTACTCAAGAAAACACAACTATTTAAAGTTTAAAGGGTTTTGTTTTTGTTTGAAATAACTTGGTTTGGGAGCATGCTAAAAGTGCTGTTGTTTCTTTGGATGGCTTACCAGGGCTTTATTTACAACTGCTTGTTGAAATATTATATAGGTAACATCCCTCTGAGAAGCCTATGCTTTGGAAAATAATTGTTAAAAATTATGAAATGAAATATTCCAGAACTGATGGTAAAGATGACTGACTATACTGTATTACATTTTAAAGGTATTTCTAGGTTTTGTTTGTACCAAGAATAGACTAAAAACAACTTTAAGGTTTAATACCGATACATCAGTGTTTAGGGTCAGGGGATATACATCTGTGGTAGAGATTTCGCCTAACATGCACAAGACCCTGGTTCAATCCTCAGCACCACAGAAAGAAGCCATACCACGTTAGACTAGAAACAACCTTATAAGAATGTAGGGAGGTTGGAATTGTGGAGGATTTCCCACAGTATGACTGAAGTGACTTTATTTGGTAATGAAGTTTGGGAGAAAAGACATTTCCCAATTATATGTTTATGCTTTGTTTCAGATTTACTTTGGTTCAGAAACACACTGTTGAATTTAATCAACTAGCAATGGCGAATTCGGAAGGGTCTGAAGCTATGCTGAACAGAGTCATGACAAAAGATAACATTGGAGTTGCAGTACTGCTAGAACTGCGAAAGGAATTGATTGAAATGTCATGTGAGTGATTCCTCCCATCTCTTCTCCCAATTTAATAGTTCGATAAGGTATCTTCAAAACAGAAATCTCATATATATTTAATAGTCTGATTTAATACTCAAAGAAATACAGTAATACAGTGAGTATTTTTCTTTTCTAAAATATCATACATCTTTTTCTCTACTGCAGAACTAAAGATGAGAAAACATTGCCCCCAAAAGTTACTGCCTTGTACAGGCATAAAGATAAAAAATTTTTTGAGTCATTGAGATAAATAGTAATTGAAATAACCGCTTAGGGCTAAGAATTCAATATACTTCCATTATTTCTTATCAGGAAGGGTGTTTGTTAAAGCTAACTTCATGCCAGTTTTCCTGACTGACTTATAATTGTATAAGGGTCTTGAGTTTGGGGAAGGTGACTTTTTAAGAAAAAAGACTGTAGTATAGTATACAGTGACTTGGATGCTAAGAACTGAAACTTCCATCACTTGTGCAATTTGGGGTGTCCAATGTAAAGATAAAGTGAGAGAGAAAACCTAGTGACTGGAGCCTGTACCCCATACTAGTACTAGTTGAGTGTGCACAAAGCCTGGACTCAGTCTCTCACTCTGCCAAAACAAGACAAAACCCACAAAAGCCAAAGAATTAATAATTGTTAAAAACTATATCTAAGAGAACTTAGATTCAAACGTGAGAGATTTGTTTTAGGATATCTAAAAATAACTGTCATGGGCTGTCTCTGTCTAAGTAGGCTTCACTGCTGGAAATTTCAACAAGATTTAGAGATAGGATTCTTGGGATTCATTGACTGGGTAGGAAACCACTAGATACATCTTAGATGTTTTTGAGAAATTTTACTTGCTTTCAGATGCTGTAAGAAGCTATAGACCAATACAGGTTTTGTCCGTTTGATTTTCATCTAATATAGCTGGAAAACCACATCTGGGAACAGAAAAACAACTTATTCTTGTGGCTAATGCTCATATGCATTGGGACCCTGAATACTCGGATGTGAAGTTGGTACAAACTATGATGTTCCTCTCAGAAGTGAAGAATATTATTGATAAAGCCTCTCGGAACCTCAAATCCACTGTATTGGGAGAATGTGGAACTATTCCGCTTGTGTTATGTGCAGATCTGAATTCTTTGCCAGACTCTGGTGAGAAAAATAATATTTTATATGAAATAGGCACTTTTTGACTTTTTAAGTTTTTTCTGTGTTTTGTAAAAAACAGTGTAAGTGCACATATACTAAGTAAGCATTTGCACAAATGTTTATACATGTCACAGTTTGCATGGGGATCAAAGGACAACTTTATGGAGTTGATTCTCCCCTTCTCCCCTTCCATGGCTTCTGAAGATAAAGCGCGTGCAGGTAATCAGACTTTTCTATGGATAGTACAGAGAATAAACCAGAACCCTTCCAGTAGCAGACTAGACAACCCATCTGTGTTCCAGCTCTTTGATTGAATTCTTACCATACAATGCTTTGGATTTGTGATGAATTTGAGATTACGTTATTGTTATCACAATAGATAGAGCCATGAAGAAGAAACAAAAAGTCCCTTAGGTGGCTCATTCTTTAGCTCCAGGCAATCAAGCTGCTGGGGGATCACTGCTGAGGACTTTCTGACAACTTCTCCACATACTGTTCTACCCTCTAGCTACAAAGTATCTGAGGGATGGGGGAGGATTTCTCATAGCATTGGGGGGAAATGCTCAATCTTGCTAAGTAATGTAATAAAAGTTAAAGCCTGTTTGTAGAGCCCGCTTTATGATTAAGAATACAAGAAAATAGTTAAGTTACTCTCCCACTTGATGGCTTTCTGTTCTGTAGTTTGGTAGTATGGTAAGATAGCACATAAACTCAAAAAAAAAAAAAAGGCTAGATCGCCCTGCATGCTATTTTGATTGTGATATTTAAGTCTTTTTTTCTTTAAGTGGAAGTAACCTGAAGTTTAGCAGGCATATTCCAGCCAGATGTTTTATTTAACCATTGAAGGATTTGGGAAGACACATAAATTTGTCAGATAGTTTTAAACAAGCCAAAATGTAAAATATTTGTGTATTGTAATTACATAAAGAAAACACTTTAGACAATAGGAATTTGTGTGGCTTTCTGAATCATTATATGTTCTTTTAAAATTATTTTATTTGCTGTGTTGTATGCTTGACAAATAAAAGTGCATTTCTATTTGTTTAGGTGTTGTAGAGTATTTGAGCACTGGTGGGGTAGAAACAAATCATAAGGACTTTAAGGAACTGAGGTACAACGAAAGTCTTACAAACTTCAGCTGTAATGGGAAGAATGGTATGACCAATGGAAGGATCACTCATGGTTTCAAGTTGAAGAGTGCCTATGAGAATGGCCTGATGCCTTACACGAATTACACATTTGATTTCAAGGTATGTCTTACGATTGGTAAGCTTTCAAAACCTTATTTTTATCAGCAAGTTGTATAAGCTTTTAAGTCCTAAACATCAGTGTGTGTTCTGGCTGGAACTGAGCAGCCTTAACTTACTGGCTTGGTGTCAGTACTTTAGATAACCCAGTGGAATAGTTTCTATAGTGAGAAGATTGGGTGAAATATGACAGTAAAGCAGTCCTTGGTTTTTCTTCACCCTTTCTGGTATTTGTTTCTTAAATACTGGTCACTAAAAGCTAGATACTGTGATGTCTAGTTTGCGTAGCCCAGGCTAAACTTGAACTCACAGACATCCGCCTGTCTGCCTCCTGAGTGCTGGAATCTACCACCTAGCTCACTATTTTCTTTCTTTCTTTTTTTTCTTTTTCTTTTTTCTTTTCTTTTTTAAAGATTTGTTTATTATATATACAGTGTTCTGTCTGCATGCATGCCTGCAGGCCAGAAGAAGGCACCAGATCTCTTTACAGACTTTTGAGAGCCACCATGTGGTTGCTGGGAATTGAACTCAGTACCTCCGGAAGAGCAGCCAGTGCTCTTAACCTCTAAGCTATTTCTTTTAAACATTACTTACTTGTTGCGTGTGGGAGGGGGCAGGTGTGCTCATGTTGCCACAGTGCTTGTATTAATGTTAGGTCAGCTTGGGGGACTCAGTTCTCTCCTATTATTGGCCCCTGGGGATTGGACTTAGGTTGTCATGCTTAGTGACAAGTACCTTTACCCACTGAGCCATCTTGCCTGTCTCATATATATATATATATATATATATATATATATATATATAGAGAGAGAGAGAGAGAGAGAGAGAGTGTGTGTGTGTGTGTGTGTGTGTGTGTGTGTGTGTGTGTGTGAATTGAATCCAGGGTCTTGTGTTTACTAAGCAAGTGTTCTTCTGAGCTTGTCCTGGTTTCTAAAGTATGTCATGTGCTATCTTGACACAGTTAACAGCTTACAGCATGGCCACCTTTTGTCAGTGACTATCATTTTTGTACTGATGGTGGTTTAGATTCTTAAGGACAGGTTGATTGGCAGGAAGATAAGAGTAGTGACCAAAGTAAGAGAAGAAATTACTCCCCCCCTCCCCCATTTCTGTTGCGGATGCAAAGATAGAAAAAGATACTCACATATGCTTTAGTGTCTTTTAGGTAAGAACACGTGAGAAAGGAAGGTGAAGTTAATGGAGGAGGTACCCCAAATTAGCAGATCAATTCCTGTGTGCTAGATGTATCTTCCGCTTCTGAAAATGTGCAAAACAGACATAGCTCTGCGCCTGTGCAGCTCCAGTCGAATGGGAAAGACAGAGTCATCCCACATAGCCCACACTTGCCTCAAATTCTTAGTCCTCTTTTAGCCTCCTCAGTGATGGCATTACATGTGCACATCACCATACTTGGCTTTAAAAAGCATACCTACTATTAGATAGCTTCCTGTTACTGCAACAAAATATTTGTGATTATCTTCTTTGGGGGGATGTGGATTTCAAGACATGGTTTCTCTGTGTAATAGTGCTGGCTGTCCTGAACACACTTTGTAGAACAGGCTGACTTAGAACTCATTGAGATATACCTGCCTTGTCCATTTAATGGGATCCATTAAAGGTGTGCACCACCATCACTCAGCTTTTTTCTTTTTTCTTTTTTTTTAAGGTTTATTTTGAGTCTCAGTTTTGAAGGTTCTTGTACATGATCCAAGTCATACTACTATAGCTATGGGCTTCCCTACTGGGACAGAGTATCATAGTTGGGAATATTTGATAGCAGATTGTTCATTCACCTCAGTTGCCAGCAAGGAAAAACAGAAAAAAAGGAGAGGCTGGGGTTCTATAATCCTATTTAAGGGTATACTTCGGTGACCTAAGGACCTCCCAGAAGGTTTCACCTTTTGAAGGTTTTTGGCATCTCCCAGTAGCACTATTTGGGGGTCCAAGCCTTTAACACTCAGGCTTTGGGGGGGGACATTTAATAAGGTTATAGTCAGTCTCAGCCATATAGATGAGTATGTCCTAACATCTTAGTGTGGGCATTATTAGCAAGAGAAGAAGACAGTGTTGGAGGTTATTAAGAGATGACTGCAGGACTTAGCAGGATTTGATGGTTAATAAGGAGTTAGCCAGGTGACAAGAAGAACATGAATATGTGTAGGTTGTTAGGAAAGAGCTTACTGAAACAGGACTGGTTGGTTGTTGTGGAATAGAATATTTGTTTAACTATGTAAAGATGTTGCATTTATTTGTGTTGTATATGTTTACCTCTATAAAGATGTGTTGTTGTTGCCCCTTGCCTGCCTATGGCACCTGATTGGTTTAATAAAAAGCTGAATGACTAAAAGCTAGGCAGAGAAGGATTAGTAGCTAGGGCTGGCAGGAGAGAAATAACTAGGAATAGGAATTTAGGCTCTGGAGAAAAGAAGTGAGGGGAGAAAGAGAAGGAGATGCCAGGGGCCAGACAGATGAATACAGAGCAAGCAGGAAAATAGGACATACAGAATGAAAGAAAGGTAAAAAGCCCTGAGGCAAAGCATAGGTAAAGGCAAACAGGTTAAATTAAGTTATAAGAGCTAGCTAGAAATGAGCATACGCTAAGGCCTAGCATTCATAACGAATAAGAAGTCTCCATGCCATGATTTGGGGCTGGCAGTTTGAGAAAGCATGCTGTAACTGGTTGATTCTGTTGAGTTTTAGTTTGGCAGAGTTGTTTGTTTTCTGTTTTTTTTTTTTTTTTTTTTTTTATGTGGCACTGGAGTTGTACATAATGTTGTTCAAGCTAGCAAATTGCTTTTGTTTACCAAATAATGACCTCTAAAGATGTGTCTTGAAAATTTTTGTGATTCCTGTGGGTTTTTTTTTTTGCTTGTGCCTTAACCATTTTTATTGCTGTTTTTCAGGGTATAATTGACTACATCTTCTATTCTAAACCTCAGCTGAATACTTTAGCCATCCTGGGACCTCTGGATCACCATTGGCTAGTTGAAAATAATATCAGCGGCTGCCCACATCCACTTATTCCTTCCGACCACTTCTCACTTTTTGCACAATTGGAGCTCTTACTGCCTTTCCTGCCCCAAGTTAATGGCATTCACCTTCCTGGCAGGAGGTAGTTAAGTACTTTCAGAGGACCTCAGATTTACTTGTAAACTCATGAAAGTCTGAATAGAGGGGAGTGAGGTGTGGCCACTAGGGATTTTTCTCAATGATCATTTGAATTTTCAGTCGATTATTTGATAAAGGATATAGTATGAAAGCCAGGTGCTAGTAACAGACAAATTCTGAGCCCAGTATGCTTTATATACTGCTAGACAGGGACTGGTGTGTTTACACCTATCTTTTAATTTGTTACCAGTAATTTTCCTGTTTCTTCTCTCCAATGTATATTGTCATGCCTTGAAATAGGAAGACGTGTGAGCAGTGTGCTGTTTGCACAGAAATCACAGCACTGTTTTCTGAGGCCAGTAGTCACATCAGAGACCACTCTTCCAAACTTTACTCCTCTCCTCTTTTTTTTTTTTTCCCAGTCTTTTTTGTAAAATGTAGAATTTGAATTTAGCCTTTATGATTGTATATGATCCACAGAAGACCTGATTTATGAAATTTTGTACTAAAAAGAAAAAAACAAATTTGAAAACAATTGTAAGCTAGGGTTTGTTTTTGGGTGGCTTTTTGATTTTGTTTTCTTTTTTCTTTTTCTTTCTTTCTTTTTTTTTTTTTTTTTTTTAACCTGTGTTCTGTGTTCTGATGGCTGGCTGGTAACAAAGTTGTAACATGTAACAGACTTTCTCTGCAGTGATTTGCACTGTTGGGGTTTTGTTAGCCCTTTTGTACTACTTTATTTTTAAATTGAGAACATTACTCTTTAAATGTGTTTGCTTAGACCTTGGGGTATTTTCTTGGACCAGAGGCAACTTATGTATGAATTCCTGAATTTCTATGGAAACTTTCTACCATGACAGATAAGCTGATCTGTAGTTATTTATGGACTGAATATGATAGTTGACATGTACATTCTGCTATTTTTAAATCTTTTAACTTTTTAAGTTAAAAAAATTTCAGCTGCTGAGGTACAGCTTCTAAGTCCTTTCTGAGACATTGTCTGCTCTGTCTCCACTGTGCCTGCCTAAATTTGTTCTCACCAAGCACTGCCTGTGCATGCAGAGAAAATCTGTGCATCTTTTATATTTTTTAAAAACTAACATTTGTGGGACTTTTATGGAAATGCTTTTGTATGAGCTGTGGCTTTTCCTCATTGTGAAGCGTTGGATAGCACATTCTGGAACATGTTCTTGGGTCCTGGGTCTTTGCTCATAGATCCAAGCACTGCTTCTTGGTGCAATTGCACCCAGAGTACCACTATCATGTGTATTCCTTATTTTCCTTTGTTTTTAAAAATCATTCCTTTTTAAAAAGAAGAGTAATTTCTGTTTATGAAGCAGTATAAATTAGATGGATTTTTCAAAACAGGTTCCCTAAGACAATTGTTCGGATCATTTTTAAAGTGACTAAGGAATTTTAATGTCAACCAAGATAAAAGTTATTCTGTACCCTATATTTTGCCCATAGTGCCATTAGTATAATAGAAATTAAAGTCACCTTTAACTTTACAAAGTTAACTTGTATATGTTCTGTTCTCAGTCACTGGTTCTCTCAAAATCAAATGAATTCAGAGGGAACTTGTCTGGCTGCTTTTGTTTCAACTGCAGGCAGTGGAGCAGAAGGAGGCCGTATGGCACTAAAATGAACTGTTGAGTAGTAACAGTTTTATACAGAGACTGAGCCATTTTGGATGACTCAAAATTTTATGAGAAAACATTTAATTGCTTATGCTGTTTTTAAGAGGAAATAAAATTACATACTGTTTAAATAAATGAATTTTTTTTTTCTCTTTTTAAGAAATTCTGTAAAAGGTCTTGATCTTGAATCTGTCTTGGACCTTGTTTTTCCTTTAAGGTTTTTGTTTTGTTTGTTTGTTTGTTTGTTTAATCTTAATTATGATGGTTTGTTTGTGGGTTTTCTTTTTGTTCAAGTTGTGCTGGCACCAAACACATCCAGTCTGTAATCAACACTGGTGTAGAGCCAGTACATAGCTTCTAATGGCTTTTTGTTCTTCTATGTGTGTCTCTCTGTCTCTCTCTTGTAAAGTGTGAATATAAGATGTATTGACTTGATTTTCATAAACACTGTGTTGGTAGTGTGCATCATGACAATTTCCAGTGAGAATGAACTGGAGCTGGCTGGACTGATGGGACTGAGGAATCCACTTTCCCTGTGACCTGCTTAGAGAACCACAGGTCCAGAGAGCTTGGTGTGAGGAGCCCAGAGGAGCACTTACTTGGTTTTACATTTGTTAGTGGAAGATACAATCTTTCCCTGGATGCTGGAACTAGAGTGCACTTGTTAGATGCTAAAGGTTTGAGCTTTACACAAAACGTTTCATCTGTATTCATTATTGTCTACAATATATTTGCATTTGGGGGCAGCATAGTAAAATATAATTGCCTATTATGTCTTGAAAGTACTTGTTTTGCCTCTTCTGGGCATACTGCATTCTGTGGGTCAGTTTGGACATCTCCACCTTCTTTAGATAGTGATAAGTTGACCGAGAGTGTAGATTTACAAGTATAACCTTCAAAAGAAAAATATTTTGAATCTATAGAGAATAAATGTTCACACCAAAATAGACTGATACTTTTGTTAAAGCAAGGCTTTTTGTTTTAAATGCTTTGTGTCCAAAATAATTTCCAAGAACTTATACTCCTTAAAATGCATAAAACTAGTCTGTTTTCATAATGTAGATTATTTTTGGAAAATTCTGTAATAAATATATGTAATGTTTGCTATACTGTAATTTCAGTGTTCTTGCTGATAAATACATTTTAGGAGTATTATACAAAATTTTTGGAATATGTTTCCTGTTCTAAAGATGAGAAGATTGGAGGCACTCAAATCCTTGTAAATCTTTTGAAGCACAGTTTACAGTATTGGTATTATTTATGCTTTGAGAATTTAAATAATGTTCCTTGAAATTAATTTATGGCATAGTATAAAGTGAAGTCGTAGAAGTAAATTGTTGATTGCAACTTTAATAATCCCAGAACATAGGCAGAACATCTCCAAGAAATTTGGTTTTGCTTGTGCTTTGATTTGGTGATAACCAGAAAAGCTTATTTTGTATAGCACTTTGAAACCTAAAGACATAATTAAATTGGGTAGGATGCACTTCCAAATCTTAAACTGTAGTTAAAACATCTAAGATTCCATTTTCTAATTGTAACATTTATGGTTTAGAGTTTTACTTTTTCACTATTTAAGCTACAGAACTCATTTCCATCATGACCTTTAAGTTTGGTGGTCATGTCATAGGACAAAGCCAACACAGGCAAGACAATTACAGGAGTTTGTCTCAAGATGAAGTCAATCACAGTATCCAGTACAGGTATTGCAGATAATTCAGAGGACTTAAGCAGGTGTCCTTCAACCATAAGCAGTATTTTAAGATGTTCACTTTGTTCCTTTTGGTTACGTAAATCTTAAAAACTGGTATGTTGATGTAGTTCTAAAATAGAGTAGTCTTTATTCACAGTACATTATATTACGTAATGTACTGGACTAACTCTTGTTTACCATTCATGTAACAAAACCCAGCACACTATCTGCACTAAGCTCAAGAATGTCACATCTGCCTAGGCAGCTCTTTGATAAGGGTGATAAGAAGCTGAATTTACACCATATAGACTGGTGGTAACAAGGGCTTTTACTGTTCTTTTCAGTGGAATCTTCTTGGTCAAATTGTAACTAGCTAGTATTATATTTATATACAGGGTCTCTTTTCCTTACCAATGTATTTTCCTACTCATAGCCAACCAATAAATTCAATATCTGTTTCAAATACTTTAAAAGTGTAATTTGTACAGCTGTAACACTGAAGCTTCAAAGCAGGTGCTAATCAGGAGATCACACAGTACAGCTGAGAGTCCTCTGGGGCAGGCTTCAGCTCACTCTTATAGGGGGAGGATCGAGTGGGGACAAGGCATGGTACAGAGAAATGGTGTGAACACCTTTCCTCATTGGCTGTGTTACTCTGTAACACCTTTGCCAAAGTTCAGTTTTATATTTAGGTTATGGATAGTCCTTTTGCATTTAGGGTTTTTGTTGTTACTATATACCTCATAAAATAAAAAACGGGCTCATGTTATGGAAAGACATTGATACATATTTTAAATAAATGCTTTTAAATACAGTAGCAGACATTGTATTGGGGTTATGATAATCATTAAGGGTCTTATTGTTACATCTCTAAATTTCATTGCACATATAACCTTTAAAAAGTTTGATTTCCCAAATTTTCATATGTGGGTTTATAGTTTAAAAACAAAACATTTATTTCCTTTCAGAAATTACACTATTTCCATGCTTAGGAGTCATAGGCAGGTGGATCATGGGTTCCAATCTTAAAAACAAATGCTTAAAATGATAAGTTCTTCAAGTAAGCATACATGGAGATGGAAGTTTCTGTCCTGCCCTGCCCCTCAGCCATTCAATCCCAAATAAACATGGAGGCTTATATTAATTATAAACTGTTTAGCTTACTGCTTAGGCTTATTACTAACAAACTCATACAATTTAAATTAACCCACAGTTCTTATCTATAGATATTTAGTCATAAGGCTTGGTACCTATATTCAGTATGGCATTCTCATCTTGTTCCCTACATCTTGTTGACGAGCGATCTGCCTTTCCGCTTCCCATAATTCTTCTAGTCAGGTAGTCCTGTCTATACCTCATGCCTGGCTACTGGCCAATCAGCGTTTTATTAAACCAATACGAGTGACACATTTTTACAGTGAACAAGAGCATTATCTCACCTCAATACACCACATAAATCTTACATCTAATGTTTGCTAGAAACAAATACATGCAAAAGTTGAGTACATTTTTTTAATTTCTAACTAGGGTTTTTTTTTTTAATGAGGGAACAATTATCTAAAATATCAGCTGAAAATATAAAATTTTTAGCTTTTAGGTAGTGATGTTAATGTATATCCAAGACTCAAGATTTAAAGTAATTTTAAGATAAGCTGTTAGAAATAGTCCAGAGGCTTTCTGTTGAGATCCCGTGGTCTGCCTCAGCCTCACTCCAAAGCCATTGGGATTAAAGGTGTTCTGTCCCACTCCTGGCTTCAGGGACAAGTTTAACCTAACATATAATAGAAGGGTGTGTGTTGCAAAAGACAGCTCTCACTAGTTTTTGGCAGGTTTGGGGACTGTAAGTACATATTTCTGGGGTCAGGTTCTGAGTTCTTGGAATGAGTGTAACCTGCAAGTCTGTACCTAGGAAATGGGAAAAACGCTGGGTAATGATGGTATCAGAACCATGTTTCCAGCAGCACTTCAATCATATGAATGTCAGGGTTTTTGTTTTTCTTGAGCTGCAAACTTAACTCACTCTATAATCTACTCCATAGCTATTAAATTTATTTTGGCCCATCTGGACAAATTGCTTTTTCTGTCACCAGTGACCTAATGCAGACTTCACCAGCTCTTATTGCCACTATTCTCCAGCCTGCTGGCAGAGTGAGTCTAAGCCTCTGGGTTCAGACTCAGTAAACAAGGTGGAAAGGAATCTGTGTTATTGATACATCTTGATGAATGATGGAATTGAGAATGCTTATTTTGAATTGCAGGTGTAATATCTAGTTTGGAAATAGGTTTACAGGTATACTCTCTCTACTTTGTTGGTCCTTATAACCTATTGCAGTAAATGCCACACATACACCAAGGAGCAACTGCCAGCATGGGCCGAGAGGTGACTGGTTATATTTTAAAGGGCTGAGAGAGCTTGTTTTCCAGGTGAACAACATAAGTTATATGAAAAGCCTTTATGGACTGTCTATGGCCACAATGGATGGATTTGGCTATGCTGTGGTCCAAGCTCATGGAGTGTACTAGTAAAACAGCTGGGAGAAGATGGTGTCTTTGGAACCTGAACCACATTGGGAGTTTTGAACCTCTTCCTATGAGTGGTATAAGGAGCCACATGGAGGTTTGAATGGGGAGTAGTGTTACCAGATTTTTTATTCTGGAAATACTGTAAGCAGCACTGTGGAGGAGAGATGAGCATAATGAGACCAATTAGTGACCAACAACTAACTTACGTATGGTTCACTTGAAAGATGATGAGCTGCAATAAATGTCTGCGCCACATACACACAAAATCAAGCCTTCAAACAAAACCCTAAATCCAAGAATTTTAAATGTACTTTCTTCTGTAAGGGATTATTAGCTTTTGGCCTTAGTTACCCATGACTTTTAAGCACCTGAAACTTCATTCTGCACCTGAAATCTGACTGGTGGGCACCATGAAGTAGGATTTACTATTTATGAAGCTTGACTTTTTTAACGATTTTTTTTTAATTAAAAGAAAAAATTGTGCCAGGCAGTAGTGGCACATTAGTTTAATCCTAGCATTCAGGAGACAGGCACAGGAAGATTTCTGTGAGGCCAGCTTGGTCTACAGAGTGAATTCCAGGACTGCTAGAGCTGTTACATAGAGAAACCCTGTCTTGAAAAACCAAAAATAAAAATATTAAAATGTGTGTGTGTGTGTGTGTGTGTGTGTGTGTGTGTGTGTGTGTGTGTGTGTGTGTGTGTGATTCCTGATAGGAAACCAGTAAATGGTCTGAAACTGCTTGGCCATCTCTGGCCCCTTGACTCATCTTTACAGGACCCCTTGCATTGTGCAAGGTAGGGAACTACCAGGTTGCTGATCTCTGTTACACACAAACACCCCATTAATCAGTGTCAAAGAATTTTAGGCATTTATCACTATCAGCCAAAGCATTGTAAAGTTGATTTATTTTGTACAGGTGGCACTGGAGATACCTAGTATAGGAAAAACAAAAAATCCAATATAGTAACACTGTAGTAACTTTGTATTAAGAAGTCTCCTTTTATAAGTGGGCAAGTTAGAGTCAGTTCTGATGTAGAATTTGGGATGCAGAGCTACCAATTGCAACAGGAATAATGAAAAGTAGGTGTGCCACAAAACTTCAGGCACGACAGTTTACTATAGCAAAGTAAAATAGGCTTTGTTGTATAAAAACATAGATTATAGGCAGTAATGTGAACAGTATTGATATTTTCACCAAAATACGTATTACAATACTTCAGTGGTCAAGAAAATGATGCTGGGCAGTGGTGGCGTAGGCCTTTAATCCCGGGGGCAGACGGATCTCTGAGTATGAAGCCAGACTGGTCTACAGAGTGAGTTCTAGGACAGAGAGACACTGTTGAGAAACTCAAGTAGATGGTAATTGTACAAAATCAGAATAGCCAACAGAAAGCTTTAAAAAAAATCTGAAGATCTGGGCTTCTAAGTCATCCAGCTTTATAAAAGTGCTCATTGCACTGGAGGAAAGTGGTAAGTTCCGTGGAAAATGATTTGTTAGGGAAAAATTTGTGGCAGAATTATGAAAAGACCAAGTATATTACGAAAGTGCAAGGTTTGCAGTTAGTCCAGCAGTTTTTTGTAGAGCGTAAGACTTTTCCTAGTGCCACAGGTCAGTTGATTGAAGGGCTTGGCAGTTAGGGGCTCTTGGAGAGGACTTGGGTTTAATTCGCATCATCCACATGGTGGTTTTCAACTGTTTGTAACTCCAGATTCAGAACAGTGCTCTCCAAGGACACTCAAGCACATGGTGCCCAATTTACACTTTGTTCTGCTTTAAAGATCTATGGGTCTTTAAAAAAAAAAAAAAAAAAAAAAAAATGAATTCCTCAGCTAGAAAAGTAAAACTTGGCTGGGGAGATGGCTTGGTGAGTAAAACACTTGCTTCACAAGCCCGAGTACCAGAGTTCAGATCCACGGCACCTACATTACCATATACTGTCTACAGGAGCTGTTTTAGGTTTAAAGATACAAGTAGGATGATAAGCAGATGAAAAAGTCACATAAACATAAATTGCAAGTGGCCATGTCAATCAGACAACACAGGCTTAAATCATTACTACAAACTAAGGGGTTGCTTGTAATGAGTGCACCAGACCACAAATCTACAAACTAGTGTACTAAAGCCAACATGATGGGGAAGTCATAGCTGAACGCCCTGGCCCATTATTTTGACATGCTTATGATAGTTATTGGTAACTTCCTATCTGATAATGAAAAGGTTTCTCTTATATTTCCTTCATCTTTCCATTATATGAATTACTTCTATTGTTATCCTCAGAAACAAAATTAGATTTACTTCTTAATGTCAAGTTTTAGAGATGATCTTTAAAAGTATTTGGTTGACTTCTATAATACTCTCATGGTTACAATGGCAAATTAGCAATGTAAAGTTTACTTAAGAAAATAAAGCTTTATAGATCTTTGTTTCTGATTGAGTTCAGTAGGTTCCCATTTTAGCCTGTGTTTTGGTTTATTTTAACAGAGACGCCTTTCTTAAACCTGTGTCATGGTGAGTTTTCTGAGACACAGGTTTGTGTGCAAGACTTCTGTTGGAGAAGATGAAATGGTGTAACCTTTGAAAGATGAAAATTGGAAGCTGGAAAGATATATGGTTAAGAGTGTTTGCTGATATTCAGTTCCCAGCATCCAGGTCAGGCAGCTTATAATCGCCTGTAACTCCAGCTCTAAAGAATCAGATGTCTCCTGCCCTCCTTGGACTGTCACATCTGTGATTGTATACGTACTCATATAAACAAACCATTTTTAAGGAAAAAGGGAAAGATGAAATTCAGGCATTAGGTTACAGATGACACCCATGTGAATGGGGAGCCATTCTCCAGAACATGTTATTAAAAATTCTGTGGTGGTATGGAGAAAATGAAGGAATTAATATTGGGTGAAGGGGAAGCTGTGAGATAACAGAATCATGAAGTCCTCAGAGGATTCCACGAGGAAGACCCTGGTCCTGTGAAGACCCTTCAGGTTTGTTCCCTCTCGAAGCCAAGGCTTCAGGTCTTTATGACCTACACCAAAAAGCTGGCAACACAGAAATAAGTAGATCCCACATCAACCAGAATGCAGACTTCCTCTGGATCAGATAGTGACCTTGCAGTTCTTTGAGGGCAGTTCTCAGAAAGCAATTAAGCTAGGTGCTGTCAGTGCCAACACTCAAGAGCTATGGAAAGGACCTCTTGAAGGGGAAACTGGGTGACATGTTGCATTCAATATAGCTCACCCCTTTGCACTCTCCACACTTCTCAAATAACAGATTTGAGGACTAGGATTGTGCTGGTCTAATTTCCCCAGGGATTTGCAGGAGCTGATCTTGGGCTTTTAGTCTTAAGGTCCTGTAAGCATTTCTCTCTCTCATCCCAGAGGAGAACCCACAAGTTAAGGAGGGTAGCAGATCTGGCTCAGAATGGCTCTTTTATCTGGCACACGCCTGCCCACTCTCAGTTCTAGTGAGCTTCTGGGTGTACAGTATTCCCATGTAACTCAGGGCATAGTTATCAGACAATCTACAGAGTCTGGACACGTTATTGTAATGCAGGGACATGTCAGGGTGTCCCCACCCCTTTCACCAGAGAGGAAAACCAATTCGTTTTGTTACCATTGGTAATTATTCAGACCATTGTCTTCCACAAAGATCCATACCCCTTGATAGTCGTAGGGACAAGGTATTGAAAATGAGATTCAAACCTCATCTGAGTCCAGATGGCTTTTCCCTCTATTTTGTGAGTGCACCCCCCCCCCAAAAAAATTGGAAAGTTTAAATTCCTGATTATTCTTATCATAATAGGAATGGAAAAATCCAAGCCCTATGTTTTAGTGTTAAAAAAAAAAAAAAAATCCAAGTAGCTTCAATTTGTAGGTAGTCAAATGAGTGAAGCCCTTCCCAGAAAGCATAATGCAGTTTTTAATGAAGTTTACTGATGCACTTCCCTTGATGTGGGTATCAGTGTCCGAATTCTATGGGGCCTTTCCATGGACGTTAGGGTCAGACCATCATGGTTCTCTTTGGTAGAACAGAGAATGGAAGGAATTAAGATATCTGAGCAAAGACACCAGAAACCACAGAAGGCAAAAACATTCTCTCTCTCTCTCTCTCTCTCTCTCTCTCTCTCTCTCTCTCTCTCTCTCTCTCTCTCTCTCTGACACACACACACACACGATGCTTTTGACTTCCTATAGGGATTGACTTTGAAGCAAGAAGACGTCAACTGCAAAGCTGTTCTAGCCATGTTTATTAAGGTAGAGGAAAGTTGCAAGCTCTAGGGTTTCCATCTCTCACCAAGGAGTACATCTTGTCAGGCAGAGTCATTCCAGATTCACCTCAACCAAATGCTGTCAGGGTCCCCTGGGAAAGAAAAGCCAAGCTTGAGAGTGCCCTTACTGCTACCAAGGATTGCTGAGGAGAGGACCTGGGCACCTGAGGTACTCAAGACAGGCATGGCTGCTGGTTCTGTGGAGGGGGCCCTAGGACAAGTATCATGGCCTACTGGCAGCCACTTATGAAAGGTGTACCCCAATAAACTCCTTGGGCTCTTCACAGGTTGGTTAGGATATGGCTTGCTGGAGCAGAACAGGAAGCGAGGGTTCCCTGAAGCTCCCTGGGTTACCTCCTATACAATTATGAAGGTGACTGGGGAGGGCTACCCACACAGGGAGGGAGAGCCATGCAGGGAAGATGCCCATATTACCAGTAGTGTCTTCACAGCCCCTACAGCTTCAGGGCCCAGCTCAGTGACACACTTCCTGGAACCTTCTATGAGGGGATCCACTGGAATGCCCAGGCTGGCCAGGATGAGCCTCAGGATGCTAAAGCGGCTTAATGGTAGACTAGGTACAGCCCCGGCCACAGCCTCTGCAGCTGGGGCAAGGTCAGCCACGGGTTCTGCTACAGATTTGGCCGCTGAATTTACGAAGAAAGCAGTACCTGCAAACACAAACAGAGAACCTAGGGCTTTTCAAGGATCCTGAAGACCTAACTCCTCCAGGGAACGGTACCCAAGGCAGACTTCATAGCCACCCACCTACTTCCTGATTGGTGACTGCTATATGTCCAAGAAGACACCAACAGAAGTGATAAGAGGTGGCCTTGTAGAGGACCCAAGGAGGAGAAGGCTACAGAGAGAGTCATAGGAGATGGGTAGGGTTTCAGAGTTGGGTCCATTCTTACTGTGCCATGATGAATAAGGGGACATTAATCAGGTTTAGAACAGATGGGATGGGCATTCTCAAGCCAGGGCTGGCCTTTGACTCAGTCATCAGGCTGGTGAGTGAAGAGAAGAAGCCAAAGGTTGAGTAGGCATGTGAGAGGCAGCTGGAAAGCTCAGGTGGGCTTGACAGCATAAGGCTTTGAAGACCACAGGAGAGAGAGGGAACCCTTGAAGGGGCAAGTGGAGGAGTATCTGGCTTCCTCTGGAGGCATTTCTGTTAGAAAAACTACTTTCAGCAGCCTAGTGCACAAGAGTGGGAGGCTATAGGGCCAAAGGCAGCTAGAGTAGGAATCAGGAAAGAGCAGATAGTGATAGCAGGTCCTCCATTGGGGATGCCAAGGCCCAGGGGAACTCACCAGAGTCACTAAGCAGAGCCATACAGAACACTAAGAAGGTGGCGGTAAGCTTCATGGCGGAATGAAACCCAGAAGATGCTCCTAAGACACTCTTCCTGGAGCCTGACCCTGAGGGTCTCATATATCCATCGGTGGAACCTCACCCTCCTGAGAAATGTCTTGTTTGCTCAACTAATAGGCAGAACTTCAGCCAACTTCCTCCTCTGGGCAGTAGACCCTAGGAGGACTGCACATCCCACCTCTGTCCTGGGGATTTCCTCTTGGCAGTGTCTCCTGAACTCAAGTGCTGGGCCTTTTTTCCTGAGAGCAGGAACTAGGGATGTGCTTTGTCTCCCATAGAACCCACCCAGGCCTACACCTAGATACTGTGGTCTGACTCCACCTCAGCGTCATCACAGCCCAGGTCTGGGGCCCATGCTTGATGGGAACGGGCTCCCCATAGGTGTGAGAGGGCTGAACCATTATGCAGGCTCTGGGGCTGGAAGCCTGAAGAGCACAGTGTGAATCAGCAGGTCCCCAGGACCCCAGATCTTTCAATGACTTATTGGCCCCCCAGTTCCAGACTATGGAAATGTCACAGTGGCTATGTTCCCAGCTCCTGCTGGTCTGGGAGTGTTTGAGGCAGAAAGCAAAGCCCTGTAGCCTGGCAGGGTGACCATTCCTTACTCTTGATTAGTTGGGCCACAGGTAGCTGATAATGTGAAAATAAGCGGGGGGTGGGGGGACTGCTGGGACATTTCTCTGTCTTTGAAATCACTCCCAAAGGCGGCAGATGAGCTTGGTGTATTTAGAGTTTCTCTAAAAGCCCCTTCTTCTCTGCTGCCTGCAGAAGTGTAGCAGAGAACAAAGCATTGATAGCCCTCCAGTAGGCTCATTAACAGTGAGATCTGACTTCCAGGATTTTCAAATGCCTCTACCACAGCTGATGAGGCATGCCTTGGCCTTCGTAGCTGGAGAGGAAGCGTCTCCAGCTGCCCTCTGAGCTGATGTGACGACCCACGGTGGGCAAATCCCACCTGTTTTCAGCCCATGGCTCCTTGACACGGGCCACACTCAGGTTGGCCCTGCTCATGCCTTACATCTTTCCTTGCTGTTTAATCCAGGAAGCTTTTATTAGTCATCGTAGATGGAATTGCAGTGGGAAGCGAGTCTTGAACTTGTGAGGTTGCACCTCCTTTTGGTGGGTTTCCTGGGAGGAATGCTTGCGAGACAGTCAAGAGCATCTGTGTTACTGTGATAGTAGGTCCCACTGCCACCCCCGGAATACCCTGAACCTCTTCCTCAGAGGGACACATCTGGGAAACAGACACTGTTCTGACCAGCCACCTTCCTGAAAAGCCAAGCCCAACTGGCTTGGCAGCAGTGTCTACCTTAACCACGGCTTCACTTGCTCTGATAATTATAGTCTGAGAAAATTACACAGAGAATTCCATGAGTAACAATTCTCAACTCTTTTAGGATTTTTGTCAGGTGAACCTGCCTTCCTTTCTTCTTTTTTAATCTTTAAATTTATAATTCTAAATACAGGTTGTCATATTGGTGGGTTTCAATGTGACATTTCCATGTAGCATGTATAATAATGCATTGGCCAAAACTCTTCCAATGCTCCTCCATGCCCTCCCTCCTCTGCCCAGCCCCCTTGCTACCCTACTATTGCCTCTTCTGCTTCCAGCTCTGTGTGTTGTAATTCTGGATTCCATGTATGAGAGAAAACATGCAAAGCAAAACAAGCAAAACATGAAAAAGCACATTACTTAGTCTGTGTGTATATTTTTTGTTATGTCTCTTGCTGTTGGTTTCTGATTTTAGTCCATTATGATCTATCTGATCAGATGCAAGAGATTATTTAAATTATTTTGTATTTGTTAGGACTTGCCTTAGAGTGTAAAAGACCTATTTTGGAAAACGTTTCAGGAGCTGAAAAAAAAAAATGCAACATGTATGTTCCTGATGCTAGATGGAATATTCTGTAATATCTGTTAGATCTAGTTAATCTAATACAGTGGTTCTCAACCTGTGGGTCGTGGCCCCTTTGAGGGTTGAATGACCCTTCACAGAGATCGAATACAAGATATCCTGCATATCGGATATTTACATTACAATTCACAACAACATTACAGTTATGAAGTAACAATGAAAATAATTTTATGGTTAGGGGTCACCACAACAAGAGAACTATACTAAAGAGTCACAGCATTAGGAAGGTTGAGAACAACATCTTTCATATACTGTATTGTCCTCCTTAATTCCCTAGACTAATCATAGTCATAATCACTTGTTTTTTTTTTTTAATACATGGATCACTTAAAAATATTCTGAGTTCATTCTTTGTCCAACATTTCATCCGCTTTGGTATCTTTTGATTCTTAGTTACCAGAAAGCAATGAATTTTTGGGAGAGACATGTTAGCCCCCACACCAGTTTCTTGTGTTTCTGTGCTGAGATTTGTGCATATGTTGGGGTGGATAATGTCCACTTTTTAGTGGAGGTCTCAGTGACTAGCTTCCTGGAGAACTCCGTCCCCAGTACTGTCCAAAGAGGAAGAAGTGGCAACAACAACCCATTAAAAACAAATCAAAGGGCTGGAGAGATGGCTCATTGGTTAAGAGCACTGGCTGCTCTTCCAGAAGACCCTGGTTCAATTCCCAGCACTCACATGGCAGCTCACAACTGTCTGTAACTCCAAGATCTGACACAGACCTACATGTAGGCGAGACACCAATGCACACAAAGATACAAGTAAAAATTATTTAAAAATCATATAAAGTGATATACTTTCAAAGTTAAAAAACTACTTTTCCACTGCTAATATTAAAGAAAGGCAACAAAATGTATAATAAATGAAAAATTAAAGTGATACAAAGTTGTTACTAATGAAGAAAAATGTTAGGGGGGGAAGAAAATAAGGAAGAAGCAAAATTGTAAACAGGAATAAAATTGAAAAAGAGAAGAGTTAAAGGAAAAGTAAAAGATCCTTCCTAATTTTGTGCAGCCACAGAGAGAGGTGAAATCATGTTTCAGGAACTGGATGCAGCTAGAAATCACTGTGTTAAGTGAAATAAGCATATAGAAAAAAAAAAAAACTTCACGTTTACTCTCATATGCAGATCCTAGCTGTAAATCTGTGTCCCGGTGTGTGGTGTGTGGTGTGTGGTGTGTGTGTGTGTGGTGTGTGGTGTGTGGTGTGTGTGTGTGTGTGTATTGGGGAAGGGTGGCTGTGGTTGTCAGTAAACTAGAAAATGGATATCTTGAGAGGTGAGCAGAGTGTAATAGATTACAGGTAATAAAGCAAAGGGAAACATAATGGGGTGAAAGCAAACAGCTGGAGGGGGAAAGGACGGGTGTGAGGTAGCACATATGTATAAAGATGCCATATGTATAATTACTCTGGGTGCTAATCTAAAAATTAAGTTTAAAAACTACCACGGATCTAATTCACATCACATAGATATCTGTGAATGCCCTTACATGACTTTTGAAGGCATGACTCCAACCACAGTCCCCACCTCTCTCTAGAACCCTTCATCTTACAAAGCTGAAACCTGTGCCTCCTCTTCCTCTCTTCTTCTTGGTCCTTGAAAATCACCATCCTGTCCTTGTCCCTAGGTAGCTCTAGATCCTGCTATAACATGATGGATCATGATTCCAGGTAAGCAGGGGCTGCTGTAGGTAGGAGTGGGGTCGTTGGATCATCCCGATTGTCAGTTTTGAAAAATCACCAATCTTTTCCACAGTAGCTGTTCCATTTTGCATTTCCACAATCGGTGCACATATATTCTCATTGGCACTCTGCATTCTCTTCCGGCAGGATCCCAGTGGTCCAAGTGATCAGAGTGAACTTGGCTCACCTTTTCACTATGCTGGCTTAGAATCAAGTTCAGGCAAAGCCCTGAATGACCTAAGAGGCCAAGAGGAGGTGTAGGCCTGCCATCCTTAAGGCTCCAAAGGCTTGTGGACTCCTGGTGTCAGTCCAATGGCCTCCCTGCACACCCTTCCTGGCATTCTTTATCTTTAAAACAGCCTTCCAGCAGGATGTGGTGTTGCATGCTTGGGCTTCATAATAGTACCTCGTGTAAAACAAAACAAAACAGAACGGAACAAAACAAAACAAACCAAACCTTCCTGGGGCTGAACGGTAGCTTACTGGCCTCACAAGAGGAAGGCCCTGGATCAGAGCTCCAATGCTGAAAAATGACAAAAAACAAAACAAAACAAAGCAAAACCAGTAACTTCCCAGCCCCCTCAAACTCCTTCCACTTTCCTGATTCAATAGGTTGAGTGATCTCTTCCTGACTTCCCATGAGCCTTCAGTGTGACCACAGGCCTTCTTCACATGACCAGCCAAATACATCCTCACAGTATGTCTGCCATTATAGCCCCCTCCTACACACTTTCTCCAGTTGCAATCATCAAAGCCAGGACTTAGCCCAATCAGGCCCAATCCTTCACCTACCACTGGCTTTTAGAACTGCCCTTGCAACTACCCTCAGCACTAGCCCATGGGGATAGTTGAGATCTGCCTGCATCATGTGGCCAGATGAAGTGCCTCTGAATTATATGGAGGCTGCTGTCAACACCTTCCGGTGGCTGAAGATAGTACACAGTTACTTGCTCACTTTTCTGGAGGCCAGAAGTCGAGTCTCACGGGGGTGAAAGCCAAGTGTTTTCAGGACTGCATTCCCTCAGGGGCTCTATGGGAAGATCCATTCCTAGCTTCTCCTAGCTCCTGGCATTCCTTGGCTCTGGCTACATCCTTCTAATGTCTGCCTCTGCCATCAGATTGTGTGTGTGTGTGTGTGTGTGTGTGAGAGAGAGAGAGAGAGAGAGAGAGAGAGAGAGAGAGATATCTCTTTGCCACTCTATTATGACTACATGTGATTACACTTAGGACTGACCCAGATAATCCAGGAGGATTGCCTTGTCTCAAAATAATGAACTTAGCTGTATTGCCAACCCTGGCATTCAAAAGATTTGGCGATTCGTTTTACCGTGTACCTTGTCCTTCAACATCTGTGTTGTTTTCTCACAGGCCAGTAGAGTGTCTCCAGTGGGTAT